ATCCCTGGAAGTGTCCAAGGCCAGGTTGGAGCCACCTGGGCTAGTGGAAGGTGTCCCTGCCCGTGGCAGGGGTGGAACTGGATGAGGTTTAAGGTCCTTTCCAACCCAAACCATTCCAGGATTCTGTGATCTCAGCTGAGCATCTGGATCCCAGTCAGGCACAATGCATGTGCTCTCTGCTCTCCAGGGATCTCTCTGCTCTCCAGGGACCCCTCTGATCTCCAGGGATCTCTCTGATCCTCAGGGACCCCTCTGCTCCCCAGGGACCCCTCTGATCTCCAGGTCCCGCCCTGCCTTCACTCACCTTTGCTCTCCAAGCCCCTGTGGATTCCAGAAGCTTCTCCTTTCCCCCGAGACTCCACATCCTCAGGAAGCCCCAGCTGTTGTCAGGAGGCTCCAGATGTTGTCCAGGCTCACTGATTTCTTCATTCCTTTCTCCAAGCAACAATTCAATGCAGAAGAGAAGGTTGTGGAAGCAGAGCTGCCCCTGCTTTGCCTCTGCTGGCACAGAAGTGCTGCTTCCCCACTCTCACTTTGAACTTCACAGCACTGAGACTTGAAAGCCACTCACAGCTCGGAGAAACACTCAGAAATTAGAGAGATAAGACATCAGCTGCAGGCAACACTTCAGCAACAGCCTCGCCAGGACCTCAGTCTTTGTCACGTGGGGGTGTTTAATATTATTAATGTCTTTTTCCCCCCTCCCCTCCTCCCTCTGGGTGGGTAGAAGTGGATGCAGAGAACTAAAGTCAAGCTGTGTTTTGTATTTTCATTTTTAACTTGGCTCTGAGGAGGGGATCTCTCAGCCCTGGACGGGAGGGAGGGGGGGATGGATGGAGAGAGGGATCCTCACCTGCCAAAGACAAATACAGCAAAAAGAAAGAGCAGGAGCTGGAAGATGATAAATGGTTCAAGTTCCTCAGCTGCAGGAGCCTCTTCATTAATTGTTTCAATTATTTTTCCCCCTTTTTTTTTTTCCATGATTTTTTTTCCCCTTGGCTCTTCCATGCATGGGTCTGTGCAGCTCTCTGCTGGGGGTGTATTCCCTGCCATTCCAGGTGTTCATCCCCCTCATCCCTGCCATTCCAGGGTGCAGCACGACTGAGGAAAACCAAAAGATGAAATAAATTTTAAAAGGGATGAGAAAAATAAACGGAGCTGTGCAGGCAGCGTTTGGACAATGCTCTGAGGGACAGGGTGGGATTGTTGGGGTGGGGAGTGTCCTGTGAAGGGCCAGGAGTTGGACTTGATCCTTGTGGATCCAGCTCAGGAGATTCCAGGATTCTGTGAGATGGTTTTGCATTTTGCTCTGGAAATGTCCCTCTGTCCTGCACCCCGGGGGGCAGAGCAGGGCACCCCAAAATTCAGGCTCCAGGGAGCCAAGGAGGACACTTCCCATCCCAAGGTGACCTCCCCAGTGTGCTCCAGAAAATTCCCCTCGGTTTCTGAAGCTCGTTATTATTCACACTATTAATTAATACTATTGATTATATTAATAATATAAGTACAGAATAGTTTGGGGTAGAAAGGACTTCAAAGACCATCCAGTCCCACCTCCTGCCATGGGCAGGGACACCTTCCACTAGCCCAGATTGCTCCAACCTGGCTTTGGACACTTCCAGGGATCCAGGGGCAGCCACAGCTTCTCTGCCCAACCTGGGCCAGGGCCTCCCCACCCTCACAGCCAGCAATTCCTTCCCAAAATCCCATCTAAATCTCCCTTTTTCCACCATGAAGCCATTCCCTGTGTCCTGTCCCTCCCTGCCTTGTCCCCAGTCCCTCTCCAGCTCTCCTGGAGCCCCTTTAGGCCCTGCCAGGGGCTCTCAGGTCTCCCTGGAGCCTTCTCTTCTCCAGGGGAACACCTTGATCTCTCTTAGCCTTTCACACATTCCCTTTTATGACGAGGGAAGGTCCCCCTGGGGAAGCTCAGGGAGCCCCCAGGAACACTCAGCAGCTTTCACGCCCAGCTGATGCTTTTTAATGGATTTGCAGATGATGGGCCAGAGGAGAAAGATCAAGGAGAAAGAGCTGCGCTCGAGGACCTGCTCGCTGGAAATCCCAAGAATTCCGAGCAGAGGATTCGTGGTCATCTGCTGCCATCTAGTGCCACCCGGGCACCCAAATCTCCCTCCCCAGATCCACGAATTTCTCTGACCAGCCTCCAAATCCTGCCTGTCCCGTGGACCACAGGCCACGTCTCGCACCTGTGGGTGCATCAGGATGGACACCACCCACCTGCACACCCTGGGGCCACCTCAGCTTCCACAGAGCCAGCCACGAGACCGCCGTGCATCACCCCCAAATTACCATCCCCTCATGTCCCTGCTCCAGACAGGGAGCCCCAGGAAAGATCTGCTGGGGTGTGCAAGGACATCCCAGGCAGGGAAAGGGTCTTTGAGAAGGTTGGAGATACCTCTGAGCATTTCTTGTGTTCTTCTGAGTTCTTGTGTTCTTCTCAGTTCTTCTGAGCAGAGCCCGATAGTTTTGCAGGATCCCTGAGTTCGAAGCTGTGGGTTTTAATCAAATTCTTTTTATTAATTCCTTTCTCACCCGAAGAGCTCTCAGATTTACCTCCAGATGGGTGTCCTAGTTCGACACAGTTGGTGAAGTTTGGGCAGATGCAGTGGGTGAACCTTCCCTGAACTGGCAGCAGGAGGAGATGAAGGGCAGTGTGGTGGCCAAGCAGGACATTAATGGGCAAGAAACCACCAGCTCTATGAGACCATCCACTTGCTGGTCCCCCAGGTTTTTTTGTCCTGTCATCCCTCCCTTTGCCATTAAGTTAAATGGTCCAACCCATGGAGAAAAGTTTTTTTCCAGCCACTTTCTCCCTGCAGAGACTTCTCCAGCCCCTCCCCAGCTGTTTGAGCCTCTGCTGGCACGGTGGGCAGCAGAAGGCAGGGATTGCCTGGGAAAGGAGCAGGTTTTTCCCTCTCCAGCAGCTCCAAAGGTTCTGGTCCAAGGTTCCTCAGGAGATCATTAAAACCAACAGGATCTTGGGAATGTTTAGGGATCAGCTCATTCATCTCTGGAGCTCCTCTGAGAGGTCCCTCCCTTTCAACCTCAATGACTCTGATTTTATGACTTGTTGTTAAAGTCAGAGGAGATGTTGGATCCAAGATCCCACATGGACATTCACGAACCAAGAAAAATATGGAGGTACCAGAAATCACAGGATCATTAAGGCTGGAAAAGCCCTCCAAGATCATCAAGTCCCCCCTGTTCCCCATCCCCAGCTTGTCCCCCAGCCCAGAGCACTGAGTGCCACATTCAGTCCTTCCCTGGACACTTCCAGGGGTGGGGACTCCAAACCTCCCTGGGCAGCCCCTTCTAGTGTTTCACAACCCTTTCCATGAAGAAATTCTCGCTGAAGATGCTTCAGGGAAGAGCCACGTGCAAGACCAAAGGCTTCAGAACAAAGCCTGATGGTGAGAGCGAGGATAGCTCAGGTTCAGGTGGCTTCAACCACAACCTGGGGATAATGGAACACCAGAACAACTTCATGAGGGTTGTCCCTGAACCTACACCATGGTTGGACACATCTCAAAGAGGTCTGTCCCAGGTCAGATGGGCTCTACCCCAGCGGAGTTGACGTGGGACACACAGATGGGCTGAACCATCCCAGGTTTAAGGGACTCCTGGAATCTTTGTTTGCAGGTCTTGGAAGACCTGGAGATCCTGATGTCTAAGGGTTCAGGGAACTTCTGAGCAAGAAAAGAGCCAGAGGAGCCAGAGGAGACCATAGCAAGTCTTTGTTCTCGTTTCAGACCCTGCTAGAGCCGCACGTCAAGTCACAGGAAAGTGGTACAAAAAAACCGTGCAAGGTCAACAGCACCTTTGATCTGAGGATCAAGACATGAGTTTGTTCAACCTCACAACACCCCTGTGAGGTAGGTTATCATCCCCCTTTCCCCCCACCCTTTTCCACATGGAGGGGGGAACTGAGGCACAGAGAAATGCAGTTGTTGGCCAACAAGGCCTCTGGACAAGCCCACGGCACGGGCAGGAGGTTTTCCTTCTCTTCATCCCAGCTCAGGGCTTGGCCCACGAGCAGGGAACAGGCAAGGTTTGTTGAAGGGGGGGCTCCTGAGCCCCCCTGAAAGCACCCTGGTGACCGGCTGCCACCAGCACCTGAGGCATCCAAACGCTTCCCGGGCAGCCGCTCCTTCCAGGAGAACCCCGGGATTGTCACCTTGTGCAATCGGACAGGGTGGGGGTCAGGAGGAGCCTGAGAACTTGGATCCTTCATGGAAATGTCCCAATCCAAAGCGGATCCCGAGTTTCTCTCACAGCAAATGTCTCTTCCCCACCCCAGAGAGGATGCCCCAGCGTTGAGCTCTGGTGGCAGTGGGCAGGTGGTGGAGGATGGTGGTGGGGGGGGGTCTCACCAGGCCTGGAGGAGAAGGAGGAGGTAGCCAGAAGGACATTATACTGTCACCAGCATCTTCCATCAGTGTTGGATGTCCTTGTGCCCCCCCACCCCCGGCCCAGCCCCCTGTGCAACGTTCAAGGAGCAACCAAAGCTGGGAGGCAAACTGGGCGGGAAGGGATGCCAGGATGGAATGTCCACCATGGAAACCCCACCTCCAACCTTCAGTGAAG